TCATCTTTTGTCTTGGGGGATCTGTTGCTAGCAGTTTATTAAAAACACAAATGGCACCCAATTTTATCATCTGCAACTTCTGTGCAGTTTTCGGGCAAGGACGGCAGGTGGCGTTTTGCTCCTGGTCTTTGAAAGGGCTGGTGGGGGTTTAGGGAAAGCAAAAAAAAGAAGGGGCAAGGTAGAGTTTTGGGAGGGGAGGGGAAAAAAAAAGACCAAAAACTGGTGTTTGTGATCTTAGATAGGGACGCTGCTCAATCATGCTGAACAGGTGGAGACAAACATGAAATTTAAAAAGCCAGCTGGTCTCATTGCCACATGTCTTGGAGGGAAGGGGGTGTCCCTCTCTGATGAGAATTAAATATTTCCTGTTCCCAGAGGAATAGAAATAAATGACCTTCTGAATGGTCCGGGTCATCATCGTGGAATGAAGTGCTGTCTCAGAGAGACAGAACTTTCTGAAATACTGGACATGTCTCTCTTTCCCACTGTCCGAGAGATAGGAGCTACGCACGAGTGGACCCACTTAAGAGCGTAGAAATGGTGGTCAGCGCAACAGAGAAACTAAAAATTTTTTTAAAAATTTTGTTTCATTTAAATACCCTTAAATTTAAATACCCGGTGGTCTGGTGGTTATCGTACCGAACAACCCAGCTATGAGCAGCTGAATCATCATTTATACATGACAGACCCCAAGCTGAACTTACAGAATACCAAGAGGAGGAGGATGGTTTTTTATTATTATTAAAAGGCTTCATTACCAAAAAAAAAAAAAGGGGGGGGCTTCATTTTTCTACGCCCAATTCATCTCAGCATGAATGAAATGATATTTAATGAGGACGTCTGTTTAAAAAGTAGAGTTTTCTATTTGTATTACATAATACGATTACTGGGATAATTTTAGTTTTGGGCTGCAATCTTGCAAAAACTGTGCTCACTCCTCCATGCCTCTGCCTCTGTTCTCTTTTAGATCAATACAAAGATATTGGCAGTCTAGAAGTGTTTTCTTTTCCTGCTAGGCTGACGTGTACTTTTTCTCTGTGTGCTAAAGCTAATTTCCACGCCAAGGTTTCCTAACAAAAATCTGAATCGATTGAATGATTTCTAGATATAGACAGACCTTGAAATAATAAACATATAAGCCTAAGGAAAACAAATGAGTGGTCAAAAGAGAAATTAAAAAATTAATAGTAACACTGACTGAATTCAGGCCAAAAAATGTTTCTGACTCCAACCTTCTTGATAATTAGCAATTTTTTTTTTTTTTTTTTTTTTTTTTTTTGGAGACAGAGTCTCACTCTGTTGCCCAGGCTAGAGTGAGTGCAGTGGCATCAGCCTAGCTCACAGCAACCTCAGACTCCTGGGCTCAAGAAATCTCCTGCCTCAGCCTCCCAAGTAGCTGGGACTACAGGCATTGACCACATCCGGCCATTTTTTCTATATATTTTTAGTTGGCCAATTAATTTCTTTCTACCTTTATTTTGTTTTCTTTTTAAAAAATTAATATAGTCTTACTTTTTTTTTTTTTTACAGTGCTTTACAATCCATCAGATCAATCTTTCTATTTTTAGTAGAGACAGGGTCTCACTCTTGCTCAGGCTGGTTTCAAACACCAGACCTTGAGCAATCCTCCCGCCTCGGCCTCCCAGAGTGCTGGGATCACAGGCGTGAGCCACCGCGCCCGGCCATAATTAGCAATTTTTAATATACTGAGAGGAAAACAAAACCAAAAAGCAATTCAAGAACATATTAACTCTCTACATCAATTCATCGATTAAAAGAAATTTCACTATTCTCTGTTTCCAGGTACCCAGAAAGGAGCTGAACATCTAACAGCAGTTCATTTTATCTTTCATTTGTCCACCCTTAAGACAGGGTGCAGATGCATAAAGTGAGAGTCAGCAAAATAAAGCAGTGACTATAGAGCTAAAAGGGAAATCATCTAGTTCAACTTTTCTCACATCCATTTTACAGACAGTGCAGTTCTAGGGTGAGAATAAGGACTGCTTAGGGCTCTCTCTCTCTCTCTCTGCTTAGGGCTCAGCCAGAACCTAGCTCTCCTCATTTCTAGGGCAGAAATCGGCCCACAGCTCCTAGACTACCACATCTGTCATTTTGGGTTGAGCAAGGGTTGCATAGATCTGATTCTTGTAGATTTGCCTGGAGAACCAAAGAAAGAACAACTTACAGTTCTGGAAAAGTGAAAAGGGGGTGGACAAGCAATGCCTTACGTTAACCCCTGACCATTAAAAACTCCATGAAACTTAACCTGCATCTGCGACAGTACAATTCGCCACTGTAAGACATCACGGCATGTTTTGATAGCTTTTCCATTTATCATCTGTGGCATCAGAGTTAAGAATCTCTGTCCCTACTCCAGAAGATTCTTCTCTCAAGTAAGGGGTAACACCTTCCTTATCTTCCACCTTCTTCCCAAAGAGGGGCTCTCTTTGGGGCGACCCAGAAGTTTCTTCCCAGTCCATTCTTCTACAAAGCCTTTGGAAACGGATAAAGCTGACCCCACACTTAGCTTGAACGCACAGGCACCTGCCCCAGCTTTGCGTTTCAATTTTCTTACCATTTCTTTTCCCCTCATTGACAGGTATCACTCAACTGGCTTAATCTGGTCTATTGCACTCCACTAAAATTTCTAACCAGAAGTTAATTTTAGATTACAAGAATGAAATATTAATAATAGCATAGAAATATGTATTATTATGATAAATAATAAATACTTACAAAAATTAATATATATATATAGGATGCTAAGCTAGCAGAGGGGAGACAATGTAAATGCTTCCTGGTGATTGTCCCCTCCAAAAGACAGTACGGTGCCCAAGTTACCAGGTGTGGTTAGTATCCAATAAAATATCCAGTGGAGCCCATAAAATGGGGCAAGACTAAAAAATGCACCATGGGGAGAAATAAATCCTGAGACTTTAACACTCCATTAGACAACTGCAAAAAGTACAAGGCCAGCACGCTCAGCAGCCAGGAATATTGTCACCTCCATGAAAACAAAGGATTGGCCGGCAGGCACAGGAAGGGTGCCAACAAGAAACTTGCTAATCAGCGGCTGATCTTCCCGTCTTCGCGCCAGACAAAAATCTACTTGAAAAGGCACAATAGAACACTCTTGATCGATCCTGATGTCTGTCGAAACTGCCCTAAATCTTCATTGGCCCCACCACTACCCGCCCCCACCATTAAAAAAAATTAAATTGCATTAAATGATAGGGGTTTGACAAGCTGCCATTCTCTTTTTTTTTTTTTCTGATATGAAAACCTCCACAGTCAAGAGTTTTTATTTTTATTCCTTTTTTTTTTTTTTAGAAATCAATCTTATATTTGCACAAACCTCGTTGGACCAGTTATTTCCTCCAAATCTCCAATCAGGTGTATATACTAATTATACACACACATACACACACTCTGCTTCATTGTAAATGCCTTGTTTCTTACCACCGTGGTTCAACTAACTTTTACAACGAAGGCATCCCGTGCCAAGAAGCGCTGGCTACTGTTTTCAGGAGGAAAAGAATAAATCACTCACCCCCGCCTGAGTGTGACTGTACCAGACATCACCCGAGAGAATGACATCCTGATCTCTGGACTCTTCCCCTTTATGCAGCACGAGGATCGGTGACCCTCCCAGGGCCACCAGCGGTCATCCGGGCTAAATATAGATCCACACACACCAGCAGTTCTGGCAGTCATCACGTGGGGCTGCTGACAGGGGACTCCTTGGAGACGATTTCGGCCCAAACACACACACACACACACACACAGACACACACACACACACGCATTTCTGGGCATGTTCATTTTATGCACACTATATCCACTGGACTCACCAGCAAATAGGGACATATCTATTAATACGTTTGGAGGAGGAAACCGGCTGTGTAGACCGTCTTCTTGTGCTATGCACCACACTGGTGCACACTCTGCACTGTCAGGGCACTTAGCTACCTTGCTTTTGCTGCAACTGAGCCCACTGGTTTGCAGGAAGGTGGGAAGCAATATGTAAATAGTGCACACACGCGCACCCCCTAGCCCCTGTGTTTGACTTTTCTCTCCTGCACAGCTCTGAAGCCCTCCCCCAAGACCCCTTTCCCCGGAAAGAGGAGCCACCCGGACGCTGACCCTGGGCAAGGCTCCCAGGTCAGTTTCACCTGGACAGGTGACCCGAGGCGAGTCACCTGAGCTCAGGCACAGAGCGAGTTTGCCAGGTAGGCCGAGAGATGACAAGAAGCATCATCACCCGGTCAGCGGGGAGGGCCTGACTCTTGTTGTTCTCTAGTCCCTTCCTGTGAGCCAGACCTCAGATCACAGGGCACCCACAACAAAAACAGACCCCGTGCGAGCACACGCATACCCACACACACATGCACACACGCACACAAGCATGCACACATATGCACACACGCACATAAACATGCACACACACATGCAAACACACATGCACTCACATGCAAACACACATACACACACATGTGCGCGCACGCGCACTCATGCACATGCACACACACAAAACCAGTCCAGAAGTCCGGGGAAAACGACCCAGGTACGTGCGGACAGGTAAGAAACGACGAAGAAAGGACGCCCTCTCTATCCGAACTCGGGCAAACCCTCAGCAACTACTGGGAGCTCCAAACAGGAGGCCGGGCTGCGGGACAGGGGACCAGCGGCGAGGCCACCCCGCCTGCACCTGCCGGGTCCCCGCACCTGTCCGGGCCCAGGTGGGCCCAGGTAACCCCAGGTGGGCCCAGGTAACCCCAGGTGGGCCCAGGTAGCCCCAGGTGGGCCGAGGTGCCCGCAGCGGCCGGGCAGGGGCGTCCCCGGTCCCCGGCTCCCCCACCCCCCGGGTCCCCGCGGTCGCCCGCCCGGGTCTCCGCCGGCTCGGGGCGCACCGCGGCCGGGCGCAGCCTGCACCCCGCTCGGGTCCCTCCCCGCACGCCTGCCCGGCCCGGGGCGCCTACCGCGGATGGCCAGGTCCTCACCTCCCGGCGGCTGCCGCGCGCAGGGACGCGCGCACGGACCCGGAGCGAGCGCGGGAAGACGAGCGCGGCGCCCGCCCGCCCCGCCGGCCTCCGTGTTTATACTGAAACTCCGGCCGCCGCGCTGCGCACGCCCCTGCCCCGAGCACCGCCCACCCGGCGGGCCACGCCCACCGCGCCGGCGCCGGCCAACCGCGGCGCGGCTCAGCGCCCCCGCCACGCCCCCCGCCCCCGCCCACAGCCGCAGACCCCGCCTACACTGGGGCGCGGACCAACCGCGGTGCAGCTCATCACCCCGCCCCGCCTACCGCCCACCGCAGCAGGCCCCGCCCACCTGAAGACGCGGACCAACCGCGGTGCAGCTCATCACCCTGCCCCGCCTACTGCCCACAGCAGCAGGCCCCGCCCACTCGAAGGCGCGGACCCACCGCGGTGGCAGCTCCAGGACCCCCGCCCCCCGCGCGACGCCGGTCCCCGCCCACGCCCTGGAGCCGGTACCAATCGCGGCGCAGCTCCACCGCCCAACCACCCCGCCCCCCTGCCTGCCCCGGCCCGCCGCCCGGGACCGCCCCGCGCAGGTCCTTGCGGGCCGGACTCCCGCCAGCGCGCCTGACCCGGACGCCTGCCCGCCGGCAGATCGCCCGCCCTGGCCCGCCCACGCTGCGGAGGCCGGTGCAGGGCTGCGCCCGCTGCGACTGCGTGCACCTGCCCGGGCTGCTGTGCAGCCGTGTGTGTGTGTGTGTGTGTGTGTGTGTGTGTGTGTGCATTCACCTGCGTGCACCTGCCCGGGCTGCTGTACAGCCGTGTGTGTGTGTGTGTGTGTGTGTATGTGTGTGTGTGTGTGTGTGTGTGTATGTGTTCATTCACCTGCCTGCACCTGCCCGGGCTGCTGTGCAGTCGTGTGTGTGTGTGTGTGTGCATGTGTGTGTGTGTGTGCGTGTTCATTCACCTACCTGCACCTGTCCAGGCTGCTGTGCAGTCATGTGTGTGTGTGTGTGTGCATGTGTGTGCATGTGTGTGTGGGTGTTCATTCACCTGGCTGCACCTGCCTGGGCTGCTGTGCAGTCGCGTGTGTGTGCATGTGTGTGCACGTGTGTGTGTTCATTCACCTGCGTGCACCTGCCTGGCTGCTGTGCAGTCGTGTGTGTGTGTGTGTGTGTGTGTTCATTCACCTGTCTGCACCTGCCGGGGCTGCTGTGCAGTCGTGTGTGTGTGTGTGTGTGCATTCACCTGCGTGCACCTGCCCGGGCTGCTGTGCAGCCGTGTGTGTGTGTGTGTGTGTGTGTGTGCATTCACCTACCTGCACCTGTCCAGGCTGCTGTGCAGTCGTGTGTGTGTGCGCGTGTGTGTGTGTTCATTCACCTGCCTGCACCTGTCCAGGCTGCTGTGCAGTCGTGTGTGTGTGCGCGTGTGTGTGTGTTCATTCACCTGCATGCACCTGTCCAGGCTGCTGTGCAGTCATGTGTGTGTGTACATGTGCGTGTGTGTGTGTGTGTGTCCATGCACCTGCCTGCACCTGCCCGGACTGCTGTGCACTCGTGTGTGTGCATGTGTGTGTGTGTGTGTCCATGCACCTGCCTGCACCTGCCCGGGCTGCTGTGCACTCGTGTGTGTGCATGTGTGTGTGTGTGTGTGTGTGTGTGTGTGTGTGTTCAGTCCCCTGCCTGCACCTGTGCGGACAGGCCTTGCTCGTTATGCACCACCTGCTGACGCAAGGCTGAGCTCCAATGCTGCTGTCCGTGCGCGGGCCCTGCAGAAGGAGCTCACAGGAGCCGCAGGACACCTGCTCCGCAAGCACTACTGGGGCCTGAGAGCCAGGCCCCGGGGCGACCCCCTGGCGGCACGGTGGGCTGGTCCCTGCCGCTGTGAGGCTCAGTCTCCAGGGGGACAACCGTTCAGCAAACCGTCACCCCAGCAAAATGTAAACTGACGGATTCCGGAAGCTTCTGGAAGCAGACGAGCCTGCTCTGTGACATGTGATTCTGGAGGCCAGGTGGAGAGGCTCCTGCGTCCCCCGGCAGGGCTGTGTTGTCGTGGTAACCACAGGCTCACCCTCTCATGGCATGCTTGGTATCTATTTTAGGAAAAAGGTAAAAACCTCAGTAGTTCCCCTTGTACGGGTTAAAAGAGGCTGGAGGGAAGGAATGATGGAAGCAAATAAGGAAGAGAGGACGCTCGTGGGAAGAAAAAAAAGGTATAGTCAGGAGACTGTCCGGCCAGCTACCGGGTTTCCCCGAAAATAAGCCCTCCCCATAAATAAGCCCCAGCAGGATGTCTAATCATGTGCGCAATAGAAGCCCCACCCCGAAATTCAGCCCTAGTGGTGGGCGTGGCTATGAAAATCAGCCCTAGTGAGGGGCGTGGCTATGAAAATCAGCCCTAGTGGTGGGTGTGGCTATGAAAATCAGCCCTAGTGATGGGCGTGGCTATGAAAATCAGCCCTCATGATGGGTGTGGCTATGAAAATCAGCCCTAGTGGTGGGCGGGGCTATGAAAATCAGCCCTAGTGGTGGGCGGGGCTATGAAAATCAGCCCTAGTGATGGGCGTGGCTATGAAAATCAGCCCTAGTGACGGGCGTGGCTGCGCAGCGCATCTGCACAACCTATGCGTGTGGTCGCGGAGCAGGAAAGAACACGAGCAGCCCTTCTCATCCGCCCCGTGAGAGCTCTAGTGCTCCA